CTAGACAGAAGCTCTTAGGATCTTTTGATCTCTCTACATGCAAATATACTGACAAGTTGTAATTTCCAGCATATGAGTTTAGAGATAAATGTGGTAGGGCCCTAGCTAGGACTTCACACACTAGATCCTCTCATACTTATATACCACACATCAAAACATCTTCCTATGTTCTTGTGAACTCCCCTGCGGCTGTGCAAAAGGAGTTTGCGGATTTTTATGAGGCTCTTTATGATCTCTCTGTAACAGGACCTGCCCTATCAGATCGCAAATCTGGCTCTTGGCCATTGCTTTTAGACAAAATCCAGCTATACAGGACTTGTCTGTAGGCCCCCACCGGGTTAAGTTGGCACAATTCGCTCATGACTTATTGCTTTATGTCACTCATCGTCACATTGCTATACTTTTAATCCTCCAAGAGTTCACTCGTTTTGGTACTGTGAACAATTTCAGGTTGAACCTATCCAAATCTGAGATTCTCAATGGGTCTCTTGATGAGGCGATGTTGCAACAACTATGCCAAAAACTTCCCATTTTGTCTCTGTCCTACCTCCATGAAGTATTTAGGAATTCAACTTTTCTGTGACTTGACAGGTCTTTACTCTCTTAATTTTAAGCCTCAGCTTGTGCAAACCGCTCAAGATCTTACCACTTACAAATGTAAGACTATTTCCTGGTTGGGTAGGATTAATGTGCTCAAGATGGATGGGGTGCCTAGGTTTCTACCTATTTCATATGTTGCACATTGGCCTCCCCTCTCTGTATTTGAGAAAAATACAGCAGGTTTTTACAAAGTTTATTTGGGGCTCTTTACACCCCCGTATTAACTATAGGACTTTATCTTTACCTAAACGCAGGGGTGGAGCAAATGCACCGGACATTCACCTTTATCATGCAGCCTTAGTTTTGGTGCACATTACAGAGTAGTTCCATCAGGCCAAAGATAAACAGTGGGTCCAATTGGAAGGGATTATTATGGACTATGATCTTCGAGCCTTACCTTGGGTCCCTCTTATATCTCATCCTGTTCCCTCTTCCCTTCCTACTTTGACTGTGCATACCTTGCAGCTTTTGGATCCTTTTGTGTCCAAATATGGGATTTCCTCCTGGCCCCATGACGCTGATTTTTAACAATACAGCTTTTCCCCAGTAATGCATAATCGTCTTTTTGGAGGTGGACCAGGGTCTCCCATAGCCGCTTGATTTTGGCACTATGTGATTCCCCTCCGACCTGTGCTGGCAATAGCAGTCCCCTCCCTTTGAGTGGTCGTTCTACTATCTCTGGACATTGGTTGGCTGACAGACAGTTCCAATCTATCGTTTCTTCATTCCCTAGGCCTTTGTGCCTGGAAGCAGATCCTACAGCCTGTGATCCCCTCCTTTTACATTCCTCACCTCCATCCCACACCCTCTCCTTGCTTTATTCTATATTCTCCTCTATATCCTTCCCAGCCTTGCCAAGGTACACTTCAGCCCAAGAGCAGGATTTAGGATTATCCATCAGTGCTGAGGAATGGGTGAAATATTTTGTACTCTCCCATGCTCTCTCCACTGGTAGTAAAGCACATGAAAAGAATCTGAAGATCCTGACCAGGTTGTACAGGTGTCCTGCAGTTCTCCATCGGTTCTATCCTACTGTGCCAGATTCTTGCTGGTGTTGTCAGGGTTCCTCGGGACATATGACTCACATATGGTCAAGCTGCCCTCCTATTATGGAATTTTGTCACAAGGTTTTGGATGTCTAGCGCTGTGATGGGTTCTGAGATCTCTAATGACCCCAAGATTGTGTTGCTGTCTATGACACCTGGTTCACTGAAATCAATAAAGAGAAGCTTCTTATGGCACTCTTACAGCTGCCAAAACAGTCATCCCTCACCACTGGCGTACTCCTGTGATACCTACTTTGGCTGAGTGGATTGTGGAGATGGACCGTATTGCGGACCTGGAACACCTGTTGTTTGATGAACATGATACGGGGCAATGATACATTATCACCTGCTCTGTGTGGCTTGACTTTCGGATGCTTTTTCAGGTGTTTTCTCCTCCTGATTCCCCCACGCTTTTTCCGCTTATATGGAGCTCCTGACGAGGGATGGGATTGTAGTTCTTGTTGTGTCTCTCTTATTCTTGTCTTTTTGTGTGTCCTTCCTTCCCTCCTGATTGGCCTTGTTTTGTTACTCGGTTATGTACCGTTCTCTTCTCTTTCCCTTGAGTGTTTATAACCCTTACTTCCTTCCCGGCCCTTTTGTCTTTCCATTTCTCATTTTCTTCTGCTTTAACTTTTTTCTTCCTTTTCTTTCTGATCCCCCTTTTCCTTTCCCCTGGAATTTTCTCACCTGTTTGCAGCCTTACCTTTTTTTTCCTTGCTTATGCTCCATAATCCACTTAGATCTCCTGACAATATCTTCTCCCCCACAAGCCTTAGTTTTGACTTCCTCTGTGTTCTCCTATTAGAGGGGTGGCTCCTAGCTATTTTCATGTGGATTCGTTTTTATACAAGATGATTTTGTCTCATACCACTATGACAACTTGCTTGTTTAACTAAATTCTTGTTTTTATGGTGATGTCGACTGTAATTTAAGATACATTTTCTATATTTTTTAATGCTCTGTTGAATGTTTAGTTTTGTTTTTCTATGGTACTTTTGTGCATCTTGCATTTATTGTGGATGTTCTCTTTGTTGTTTCTTTCCCTGCTTGGCTTTAAAATTTAAGAAAGTCAGATTGAACTAAAAAATAAAATGGATCCTTAAAAACAAGCTGAACGTTTGCCAATGTTCATGAGAATACATACTTTTCTAATTTTCCACCTCAGATTTAGCTGCATGTCAAACTATACACAGGCCACAGGGCAACTTGTAGTGATGAGAGAACACTCTGATACATGTATTATAGGGAACAGCTGCTTGGATGATGTAATATTCCAGTAAACTCAGCACAGTATATAATGTCATCCTGTGACCCATAGTTTTTTAGGGTCACAGGATGACATTTACTATGTCCTCCTGTGACCCAAAACTCAGTATATAGTGGGCTATTGCCCGCTATATGATGACAGTGCACAGCTACGCTGTGGCTGGGAAGGATCCCGACAATATTGTAATCCACCCTGCCACCAGATTGACAGCTGGCTCTATAATTACATTTCCAACTTCATATATAATAAAAGTATGCGCATGATGAAAACGAAATCATTTTGTTATAATGAGTTAACAAGTTTCTTTTTCTTGCCATGAACAACAACTTCTGCTTCTAAATTCAATCATGTGATGTAAAATGTAGGAAATGGTCACATGGTTTCAAGCTACCAGGAGCACTGATTGTGTTTGATATCAGAAGAGACTGCAACATGTATACTGTTATTAATCGTGGGGCCTCGGTCTGATACACCTCTATAAGGTTAGGAGGATTAGATCGGGAGCTGACCCTCCTGAAGACATATGGTTTTTTACTAGGGATGCACAGATACTTTTCGAGTACCAGTGCAGATACTTGGCATTTTCATGAGAACTACCAGGGTTGCAGAGGTTGCAGCTGGGAGCTGGCTCTGGTGCTCCACCATTGTCCTGAAATCATTAGTCTGTATTGTTTTAGAAAAAGTGTCACATGACAATAAACAAACATGTATCAGTACTCGTACTTGTAAGTACTCGGCAAGTACCAGTACTCGTACTCACAAAACTGGTATCTGTGCATCCCTTTATTTATATTTATAAAAACAAAATCGTACATTAAAACAGAGATGTACAAATCCCAGGAGCTCCGTGTGCTCCTTACAAATGACAGCTGCCTCCTAATTTTTGAATTTTTCTCTAGTTTAGTCTTGGAGCTCAAAAGTATCGGTACATGTACTCGTACTTGTACCGAGTACTGTACTTGGTATCTGTGCAACCCTATTTTTTACATATACTGTATTACAAAGTATGCATTACAGACTGGTATTTAAAACATTAGAACACATTAAAATGTTATACATAATATATAATTATTAAGATTTCATTTTTTTTCTATCTCTTGTTGGAGAGATATCTGCATATTGTTCAATGTCCACACACCTTCTGTTCTTATTACATGGGTTTCACTAAACATATTGTTCTTTTTATTTTATATTACGAATACAAGAAATGTTGGAACACACAAAGGTTAGGAAAGAGACAACACAGCCAAAATATCCAAAAAATATAACAACATGGTGGTTCCACCTTTATCTATAATATCACTGTTGTGACTGACAATTTGAAGCCAAAATCCTGACAGCAATTGTAGTTTGCAATATAGCGGGGAAGAGCTAAGATCTGTGGCCCTTGTTAAATTACACAGATCAGTGATAGAAACCAAAGTATGAAAAATGTGTACTATACAATTTATTTCTGTAACATGATTAAAATTTAGCCTTCTTCATCATCAAGCAATTCAAATTATGTTCATGGGTGCAACATTCTCAGTTCTATGTGTGAAAAGAAAAACGCATCACAAAGCTTTAAGTTTGCATGTGTGCATGAGAATAAAATGATTTTAATTAATACAACAATATGGAGTCAGTTGTACCTTGGAGACTATTCCCCCCGACATTGAGTCCTGCATGGTCTTTCCAGAGATCGGGCTTCTATGTTTATAGTTTCCTTTGCACAATGTCTCTCTCTATTATTAACCTCCAGGTAGGGGGGCAGTTTTATAAAACTCATCTTACATTTTGATACGGCTTCTCTCCTGTGTGAAGCGTTTAAAGCTGGATCATAGTTCATTTAGATTTAGCACATTTGTTACATCCATTAGTTTGGCTTCTCCCCAGTGTGTGTAACTTCATGTTGCTGGACTTTTCCTTGTCACATTCTCCATATGGATCCCCTCCTGTGAGAGATCTGTGGTGTCCGGTAAGGTTTCCTCTTTGTAAGAAGCACTTTCCACATGTTGTACTCTTCAATGGTTTCTGTGCTGTGTGAGTCTTCTGGTGTTTAGGAAGTCTAAAAGTGTGTGAGAAACACTTCCCAACATTTAAACAACTTTTTCCCCTGTGTGAATCTTCTGGTGTTCAGCAAGTGTAAGCTTATAAAAAAAGCACATGCCACATTGTGAACATATAAATGGTTTATTTCCTGTGTGCATTCTCTGGTGTTTAGTAAGGTTAGAATTTTGTGTGAAGCACTTCCCACATTCTGAACATTGAAATGGTTTCTCACCTGTGTGAGTCCTCTCATGATGAGTAAGGTAAGAACTTTTTACAAAACATTTTCCACATTCTGAACATTTATATGGTTTCTCTCCAGTGTGAGTCCTCTGGTGAGTAGTAAGATGAGAACTTTTTGAGAAAAATTTTCCACATTCTGAACATTTAAATGGCTCTTCTCCAGTGTGAGTCTTCTGGTGTACAGCAAGTAAAGACTTGTGAGAGAAGCTCTTGTCACATTCTGGACATTTAAAAGGTTTCTCTCCTGTATGAATCCTCTGGTGCTTAGTAAGACTAGAATGTGCATAGAAGCTCTTGTCACATTCTGAACATTTAAATGGTTTCACTCCTGTGTGGATCCTCAGATGTTCAGCAAAATGAGAATTGTCTGAGAAGCACTTGTGACATTCTGGGCATTGATATGGTTTCTCTCCTGTGTGGATCCTCTGGTGTTTAGTAAGACTAGAACTTAGTGAGAAGCACTTGCCACATTCTGAACATTTAAATGGTTTCACTCCTGTGTGAATCCTCTGGTGACTAGAAAGACTAGAACTTAGTGAGAAGCACTTGCCACATTCTGAACATGTATATGGTTTTTCTCCTGTGTGAATCCTCAGGTGTTTAGTAAGACAAGAATTTTCTGAGAAGCACTTGGGACATTCTGAACATTTAAATAACTTCTCCCCGGTGTGAATCCTCAGATGACTAATGAGTTTTGACTTATAGGTAAAACTCTTCTGGCACACGAAACATTGGTACAGCTTTTCTGTAACTTTGTTCATTTTGTATCTCTGTTTAGCTGTGAATGTTTTCCGCAGTAGATGTTGAATGGCTAATTCTGGTCATTAATTACCTATATGAAAAGTAAAAATAAATGTTTACACACAATCTCAATACAAACAACAGACTGAGGTCAGATATTGAGAGTTTGGAAATGTAAGACTTCCTCACTGCCCACAGCAGTATGTAATAATAGCCATAACTCTGGCAGAGTAGAGATATAAGGCTTTACTGTTTTTTTAGACAAAAATCCAAAGTGTACACCTATAGTTTATCATTATAGTGACCTCAGTTGTCTTCTTATACTCTTTTTATAATAACTAGATATGATGAGTCTTTGTGATCCAAATATCTTTGCCTTATGGGCTCGTCCACGCTATCCAGTGCAAGGTTCCTTTCCATGAACACTCTAGATCACATAAAAAAACCCTCCCTGCATTCTAGGGTGGAAGGGGACATGCTGGTGCCATTCATTCCAATGGCGCTGCAGACACTCCTCCTATCCCCACCGGAACATGTGTTACAGCAATGCCTTGTGTTCCAGTGTGGTGCGATCACATGCAAATCGCACATGCAGTATTTCTTTTACGTGGACAGGGTTTGTGTATGCGATCTGAGCAAGGAAACATGGGACTCCGTCGCTCCAAAATCATTGAAGAAACATCCTTTATTTGAGAATGTGCATAATATCACATAGTGGCAACGTTTCAGGGTCACCATGGATCCCCTTCATCAGGCAAAACCATGTGAAATAACAAGTGCAAAACAGACAATATATACACATAGTGCATACCACACTCTTAGCACTACAAAAACACCCAATACCCTAGCACTACAAAACACCCAATAATGTCATAATGGCATCATGATCCCACTAGAATTACAAAGTATGTAGCAGGATAGAGGGCAATCTATGCTGGAATAAGTAAACATTAATGTGTAATAAATGGCAGTATCCAGCCTGCAAATGTTAGAACCCCTGCTGGTGAAATATGAGGGGTTACTCTGTGCATGGGGACCATGCTGCTCGTGGGAGTGTCCATGGTAATGCTGCAGTCATTGTGCCGAGGCCAGATAGAATGCCCCGCCTCTCTTATAGTCATCCCTGCTCATTTGTCAAGGGGAGGCATCGGCTGCACAACCCCATAGGGTGTGAAATCAGTCTGTCGACTCGTGCAGAGAGCGCAGGAGACCTAGGCATGCGCAGAGGGCTTGGGAGCCGGCGTACAGGCAGCTCTGCTATTACTAGCCGGCACATGCACTGTAATTGCTTCTGTAGCCTCATACAATGCATGCACCGCATTCAGGCATCGGGCAGGTGAAGGGGAGAACGGCGTGGACTGTGCAGCACACAAAAGAAAATGCACTCTGTATCAGTTGGTCACAGAATGGATTACAGAAATCAAGTGGTGTTCTGCCTATACACTCCTACCACTTCCTCTATATCACAATGCCTCATGTTATATGTAGTCAGCTTTCTCTGCCAGGATATGAAACGCACTGGTTACCTAGATCCTCCCTCTGGCTGCAGGAAGGACTGATCTATACACAGGGCCGGATTTACTCTCTCTGCTGAGTCACCTGTCAAAAGAGACCGAGCTCTCCTCCTCGCACAGTCGGATTAGCTGAAAGAGTCATGATGCAGAGCAGAATACAAGAACACTCAGCGATCAGTGATTGGAGTGTTTTTTAAATATTTGACATAGTATATTTACTGTGTCCCCAATCATAAATGAACAGGACGTACTCTACATCACTCCCTGTTCATTCATGATTGTGGACATAGTAAACATACTATTTCCACAAGCTATAAATGGGCAGAAGCACTCAGTATAGAGGTTTCCTGTTCATTTATAACATGGGCTACAGAAAAAGAGATTGAGGACTCTGTGTCTCCTCCACAGCAGCCTATATCCGAGATGCCGGTCCTGGGCCCGCAGAGCCCAGGAAACAAGGTAGGGGTGTCGGGCAGGGGGGCACTGTACCAGCCCCTGGAAGGGATCATGTGGCAGCTGAGCTTGGCTTTACAAAGGTAAACAGACTCTGTTTTAATGGGGCACGCTGCCACTGACGTATGTTGGTGGCAGCAAAAGGGTTAAGGTCTCCGTCTTCTCTGCCTCTGTATCCGGTGCTGCCCTTGAAAGGTAAACTTAGCACAGCATCCTGCTGGATGATCACAAACCCAGCACTATAAAGGGTTATAACACAACAGGCAGAAGAGAAGCCTGCAAATGGAGCAACACATTCCATAGGGCCCCATTTATAGTAGTATTAAAGTCACTTTTGTTTTCACATATATCTACAGTCGGCAAGCAGTAAATATATGCAAAATCATAATAAAAAATGAAAAAAAGATACCAAAAAGGTAAAAACTTCCCTGTGTCTCAGCTGCTCGCTCCCGTCTGAAGATCGGAAGATTCTCGAGCGGCCCTGTAAGATCATGGGACGGGTAAACGCGCATTGGAGATCTGCGGCGAGGAGAAGAGGAGAGGCTCAGTGTAAGTGAATGCCTGCAGCCGGGAGCGTGCACAACGGGCAGACTCCGTAGGAAACAGAAGACACAGCGGTCAGAGCTGGATCAGAGGACGGTACCAGCCCTGGAGGGACTCCTGAAAACTACTAGAAGATGATCAGATCATTTAAAGGTAAGTCCTTAAAGCAGCATTGGGGAAGGGGGTGGGATAGTGACTTTAATGTCACTTTAAGCATTAACAGCATTTTGGAACTACAGGTGGCAGCAACATATGCACCTCTATGGCACCATGAGGGTTAAGGCACAAGAGACAGACTGAAAGACTCAGCAGATAATAAAAACCAGCACAAGTCTGTAAGATCCAGCTTAGGCATTAAAGGAGAACTATGAGGTGAGTGCTTTTCACTCACCTCATAGTTCTAGCCGACCTGTGACAATGAGACTGTCACAGGTCGGTTCAGTAGATCGTGAGGTGAGTGAACACATACTAAGGGAAATCATACCAGCGTTCGCTCACCCCTCGATCCTGTCACGGCTCTCTGCCGTGACAGGGGAGGGGCTGGATTCCCCTCTCCCCGCTCCGATCCGCCAGCGCTGACTGGCAAGTCGGACAGGGGAGGGGGCAGGTACAGCCGGCTCTGCCTCTAGATAGGCAGAGCCAGCTGTCAGTCACGCAGCTGGGCGGATCCTGGCATAATTGTCGGGATCCGCTTCAGCTGCGGCGTCTCAGTATAGAGCCGGATCGGAAAGACGTGTAAGGGCCAAAGATATCTCCTCCCCCAGGTCTTAACTAAGGATGGGCTCGGGCGTGTTCGCAGCTCCATGTGCCGAGCCCGCCAGGAAGCTGACAGCACGCAGCGCCAATCACAGGTACTGAGACATTATCCCGGTCCGCAGCTGCAGAGATTGGGAAATGCCTCAGTGCCTGCGATTGGCGCTGTGCTCTGTCAGCTTCCTTGCGGGCTCGGCACGTGGAGCTGCGAACACGCCCGGGCCCATCCTTACTCTTAACAAGCTGGGATGCTCTGGCCAGAGTCCCACCAAGCTCCTGGTAACCAGTGATGGAAACATATATATACACATACACAAGTCGAGGTCGAGCACTCACAGGTCTTGTAGCAGGAGAAATTACAGTAAACAACAAATGCTTAAGATGGAGATTAAAGGATTACTTCACCTTTATTACTCTAAACCAGGGGAAGCCAAACCTCGGCCCTCCGGCTGTGGTAGAACTACAAATCCCACAAACCACTCTGCCTCTGGAGTGATGCCTGTAGCTGGCTGAGTCCTGCAATGCCTCATGGGACTTGTAGTTACCCCCAGTCTAAACCTCATTGCAGCAGCTCTTATGTCTAATATTCATGTCCATATTTATTTCTCTGACATATGTACGTACCCCAGTGTTCAGATCTCCTGCGTGTTCTGGCTCTTCTTACAAATGCAGCTGCAGAGCTTCTCCTTCCTGCTTCCGGCTTCCATGTCACCCGAGACAGTAGTTTAGTGTCCTAATAGGAGACTAGGAGTCCCAGAATCCAATGCACAGGGGGAGGGGGGAGAGTGTGTTCATGGGAGCTTCTCTCTGTGAGGAGAAGACGAGGTAATACGGCTTCCTCCTTCCTGCTGCTGTGACAGGGGGAGGGGAGCCTGAGGACACACATGTCTGGATTTACCTCATCTCATCTTCAGCACAACAACCTCACTCGTCTCACATCATAACCATGATAAGAACGCTGATTGTTACAGACATAGTACTCTGCAATGTAGAACATTTATGGTGGAAACATGTATAAGTACAAAGAAAATAAAACCATATTGTCATTGTGTGCAGCGTTATATAGGACAAGACACTGTCTGTTATCAGATATATAAAACTCCAAAATAGGTTTCACTCTCCTTCCCTCTCTCCCTGCCTCTCATTCTGGGAGAAATTATGAAGACTGGAGCAGACAGAATCTGGAGCAGTTGCCCATGGCAATCAATCAGCTTCTCTCTTTAGTTTGTTCCGTTAAGCTTTGAAAATGAAAGAGAGAAGCTGATAGGTTCTCTTCAGTCTTGATA